ATTGAACACATAAAAAAGTAAAAGTCGAAAAAATAAATACTAAACTAACGTATTTCAATGTGCTTCATCTATTTAAGACTTAACCCGTTTGTAGATGAATACAAGCAATAGGAACGAAATAAAGAAAAAGTATAACACTGACCTAAAGTAAAATAGAAATATATTTATTTCATATAATGGCAGCTTTATAACAACATTGAAAAAATTTAAGTGTTTCATTAGTTGATGCTATATTAACTATTTCTATGAATAGATCTAAATTTAATGCAGTGTCTATTGGATTACTCAATGATCTTGAACAAGCTTTTGATCATGCTTCAAAAAATGATCATATTAAAGGTGTTCATCTACGTTCTAATTTTAGGTATTCATCAATAAAACAAAATATTCTATCATAAAAATTGATTTTTTAATTTAGTTCGACATTTTCTGCTGGTCTTGTTCTTTTTGATATGCATGAACGATGTGCTAAACGTCATCAGCCAATAATTGATAAATTCGTCTTTGATACAATTAACCGTGGTGCAATAGCACCTCTGCGTTGTTCAAAACTAGTTGCATGTTCACTTGATGGTCATGCTATTGGTGCTGGTATTGTAATTGCTCTTGCATGTGATTATATTGCTATAGGAACATGAAAACCATTTCGCATTGGTGTTACAGAATCATCTGTTGGTGTACCATTTCCTCCAATACCACTTGAAATTATGCGACATCAACTTGAACCACAACTTGTTCATCGATTAATATTTGATGCAAATATTACATCATCAAATGATTTTTCAATTCGATGTGAATGAAGTGAAACACCAGATGATTTATGACGAAAATGGTTAAAAATGATGTGTGAAAGACCATTCAAAGATTTTCAAATAACGAAACAAAAATGATGATCGGATATAATTAAACTAATTTCTATTGATGATGAATAAGAAAAAAAGGAATATTTTGATACAATAATTGATGAAGATTGTCTACAAGCTATGAAACAAACACTTAACAAATAAATAGAATTTTTTTTCCTTATATCTAAAATTATTTAGGAAAAAAGGAATTTCTTCAATACAAATTTGTTGATTTCATTTTTGGCTTAAAATTAATTTTAAAAATCAACTTATTAGTTCAAAATATAATAATATTCTTTTTATTCATGTTGCGGGTGTGGGTGTGTAGATGTGAATGTAAGAGAATAGTGGATCCAAACAACCACGCCCACACCGCACACATATTCACACTAACACCTACCCACATTTATACACTCACCCGTCCACACCCGTAGGTGAGACAAAAAGACGAGAATCAAGTATCTTAGAGACGCACATTTCTCTGTCACTCAATTGTGCACCCATAAATTATGAAAGATATAGTTAGTATCGATAAGATCTTTGAACAGGTGCACCCATCTGTCGCATCAATGAAGCTCATGGTCGATTTTCTAGATCTTTCAAGATGCAATAGTTGGTATTAATGGTTGTGGAAACGAATCTTAAAACATATAATTTCATTTAACTGGCAACAAACGAAATAGTTCGATGCGTAGGCAGTTTCTCCCATATCATCTCTGATCAATATGAAGCCTGATAGCTGATTTCAATTTCGCAGAGAAATTTTATCTGAAGCAGTTCGAATCAAGTCAAAGCTGAAAGAATAAAGAACAACGTTTTCTTCCAGAAAATGAAAAATGCTTGTATTTTCGCACACAGGCAAGTGAAAGAAGGAGAGAACAAGAAAAAAGTGGTCCGTTATTTGTGCATCGAAGTATTTATTCACCTATATTTTTAAAGCAAGCATTCGTTTGAAAATGAAACGAAATAAGTATGTAAACATTTTCGACACCAAAGAAATGTCTCTTGCCATCCTGCCTAGATTTCGACATTACCTATTCGTGCCAATCGTGTAGTGTACGTCAGAGATGGAACTGATACCGGTTATTGGCCGTCCTATCTTTTTTCCTTGTTTCTGCTGCATAAACTAGTGAAAAACTTGCTGATCTTAATGCTATCTTGTGCAGAATACATAATAAAATTCTGGTGGAAGTTGACTACCTCAATTATCACTATCCTAAGATAGAATTGGTAATAGTAAAATGATTAGACTGGCCGGTCTGATCTAGTCACACCTATTTGGACTGGTGCCGGTGCCAATCTTCAAAACTTCAGATCAGTTCCATCGTTGATATATGTTATTCTACTAAGCAAAAAGTTTCCTTGCCTCTGCTACACCCAATCATACTTTCTTTGACTTGATAATGTTTACGTCGCAACAATACTTGAATACTATACTGGGTGTGAATGTGAAGTTCAAGAAGTCTGACACACAAACACACACCCTATATATGTACGGATTATGCTAAATGCACCAGTATCCTTTACATCCATTTACACAGTAGATAAAGCTGATTGGTTTACAATTACGTAACTATATTAAATCTAAAATAATTCTGAAGAGATTCAGTTTGAAAGAAGTCTAAATTTTTTTATCATGAATATTTAAATTTATGTCGAATTTAAATTATAAAATATTAAACTTTTTTCAACTTTAGGTCTAATTTACATAAATCTAAAATGACTTAAATAGGTTTAAATGGAATCTAAATGCTTTAGGACTGATTTTTATCGGTTCAAATACAATATACACGAAATTAAATCAGATTTAAGCCTGTAGAATTCCATTTAAAGCCCATTTAGACTCATCTAAATCCCTTTAAAGCAAATTTTAATGGGTTTAAATTGTGAACAACTACATTCCAACCCAACTTATATGCATTTCAGTTCAATATAAATGCATTTAAATCCAATTCGATTCGATTTAAATCAATCTAAACGCATTGCAACTCAATTTAAATGAATAAGAATTGAATATGAACAGATTAAGATTGATTTACAGGAGTTTTAATGCTATTGTAGTGCATTTCTCTTGCATTTAAACCGGATTTAAATGAATAAGTATGGGTGAAGAGTGGTGCCTTATGCTCCCATCTATATACACACTCACCTACATCCCACACCCTATACCGCTATTTTTTCTCAGGTTCGTATTACATGAATATAAACTGTACATGGTTCTGACTCACACCCTAGAGAAACAAATATCAAGCGTCATAGACATTTAAATCAAAAATTTCATTAACATCAATACGTAAAAACTTCTATATTTTTGCCATTGTTCAAAAAAACATTCTGTTTTAAAAAAATTGACTCTATACAAAATCCTATATTTTCAAAATCCTCTGATCATAGGTCACTACTAAAGAGACGTTAAGAAAATACTTTTTCAATACGCTGTCATTTATGATTACAAGTATCCTAGTCAAGACATAATCATATTCAACGCGTGTGAAACACCTTAATACGAATGACAATTCTAGAAATGAGTCGATTCATTATATGCTTGGCTGGGTTTATAAATGTACAAGCAAGAGAAGAAGAGAAAGTTGATTTTTTTTCTCGGGTTATTTACTTAACTTTCATAATAAATTTCCTTTTTTTTTTTTTTTGATTTGTATATAATGAATTCAAATAAGGATGAATTGGTAGTAAATAAAAACAGCAATAATATTATTCCTCCATCAAAAGATT